TTTTTTTTAAAAAAAAAAAAAATAAAAGGGAAAAATAAAATTAAAATTAACCGGTTCCCACCGGAAAAAAAAAAAAAAAAAATTGGAAAAAAAAAAAAAAAGGAGGAAAAAAAAAAAAAAAAAAAAAAAATTATCTCTTTAACTAAAAAAAAATGGAAATAAAAACACCTATTCCTTAATAAAAAAGATAATATTCAGACCAAACCCAATAAAAATTTCTTACTACAACTTCTCAAAATGATGTATTTATTGATTTAGTTAAATAAATGTTAAAATCTTCTTCACCTTAATAAAATACACCTTCATCTTTTTCCAATTCTGAATCTTCAAATTGCTTAAATACTAGTCTTGGAGTTTAAAACAATGAACAATAGACCAAAAGATGGTGGAAAAAAGAAGAAGATGAACTTTTGAAAGACCTTGTATAATAATATGGGCCAAAAAACTGGAAAAAAATAGCAAGTAATTTTCCAGATAGAAGTGATGTTTAGTGTTTACATAGATGGTAAAAAGTATTAAATCCTTCTCTTGTAAAAGGACCTTGGACAAAAGAAGAAGATTAAATATTAAGTGAATTAGTAATAGAATAAGGGCCTTAAAAATGGAGTCAAATTGCTAAAAGTTTACCTGGAAGAATTGGTAAATAATGCAGAGAAAGGTATTTTTTATATGTTTTATGTTTATTGATATTTATATAGATGGCATAATCATTTAAATCCATAAATCAAAAAAGATAAATGGACAGAAGATGAAGATTAGAAAATTATAGAGGCTCATAAAATGTATTTATTTGTATATAATATATAAATTATATTTTATAATAAAGATATGGTAATAAATGGGCTCTTATTACTAAATTATTACCTGGAAGAACTGATAATGCAATAAAAAATCATTGGAATTCAACAATCAAAAGAAAAATAAAAATATAAAAATAAGAATAAGAAATAAATAGTTTTAGTAAAAACTAAAAAAAATATGAAGAAAATCCAAAAAAAATACTAAAAAAAGTATTTATTTCACCAAATAAATAAATATAAGAAAATAATAAATATATCCAATATAATAATAATAATAATAATAATAATAATAATAATAATAATAAGTAATTAAATTATTTCCTAATTTTCTATTTAAAATTCTAAAGGATTTTAAGCTTATAAATCTATGATTAAATTTTAAACTCCTGTTAAATAATTCGAATATTCATAAAATAAATAAAATTCTAATGCTTAATAAGAATAAATATAATCTATATAAAAAAATATAAGTAAATTATAATAATACATATATATATTTTTTTGATTTACTTATTTTCTAGTAAATAATAAATGCTTAAATTTAGTTTTTCCCTTGTTTACTATTGAAGAAATGTAAAATTCTTAATGTTCAGAATAATTAATATAAAGTATATTATATACTATTTAATAAAATTATTAAAGATATAATTGAAAAAAAAAAAAAAAAACGAATTAAGAACAGATAATAATAAATTAATAAATAAAAAAAAATATATATATATATATTATATTTATTGTATTAAATATATTAAAATGGACTTTTATAATATAATAATTAAACATATTTTTTTTTTTTTTTTTATAATGTAAAAATATAAATTATTTATATATTCTTATTTTTTTTATATTAAAGCAAAAAAATAATCTTTTTCATTTTTTTGTTTATAAATACACAATAGCTATTTAATTTATATTTAAGAAAAGAAAAAAAATTCAGTAATTAAATAAATAAATAAAAAAAAAATATTTAATTTAAAAATATTTTTTATTATTAATTTTTTTTTTTTTTTCAAAAAAAAAATAATTGGATATAATCTTTATTCCTTTTATTGATTTTTTTTTTATATATATATATTTAATAATCATATAAGATTTTATAATGAAATATTTAAAACTTGCAATATTTTTCTTTTTTTTATAAAAAATTTTATATTATTTTCAATAATAATAAATAAAAAAATCCATTACTATCATCTTCTTCCTTTATTGAATATTTCATCTGTATTAAATGCACTTTATGGTAAAAATCTATCATTTTCTTCATCATATTTAGGTAAGGCTACAATTAAATTTTTATTAAGTTCTTGACTTAATTTATAATTTAAAATAACCTATTTTAAATATATTTTAACTTTAAATAAAAATAATAAAATAATCAAAAAACTTGTTTTTTTCTCTAATGACATTCAACATAATCTTCTGTTTCATCTGTACACATTTTAAGTGGTAAAATTTCTGCTCTAATACAATCGAGCATTCTTTCATAAAAAGGTAAACAAGGATGAGCACCTCCGTTTAAGTTAAATCCTTAATGAGCCATTTTGATATAATTGTATTTTTAATATTATGTTATATGTTATATATATATATATATATATATTTATTAAATATATATTTTTTATTTAATATATATTTTTTACTAATTTAAATACAAATCAAAAAAACCTAAATAAATTTATAAGACTATAAGCTATTATATTATTTAGTTTTTTAATTTTTGTTAAGGGAAGTAATAATAAATAATTTTATATAAAAAAATGAATAAAGTTATAATTTAAATAAAAAAATGAATATAATAATTTATTTTTATTTATGAAAAAAAAAAAAAAAAATTCTGTGAACTAAATAAAGCAATTAAATAATAAATAAAACTAAATAAAATTTATAAAATATTTTTAATAAAAATAAAAAATACATAAAAATAAAAATAAATAAAATAAAAAAATCATTCATAATATTTAAAAGAATTATTTTTTTTATTAAAAAAAAAAATGCCGTCTCAATATAAAAAATAACAAAAAGAATAATTAATATTTAGTTCTGAAGATCTGTACATTCAGATATATCTATTATATCATCTGAAGATGAAATAACAACTATAGGTATTTATAAATAAAATATTTAAAAAATACAAAAAAAAACCAAAAAATATAGATAATAAAAATGAGTTTATTCATTTAAGTTAATAAATGAAAAATTTTTTTAATTAAAACTAGTAATTATAAGACAATATAAAATTTGAAAGATTAAAAGTTTCTGATGATGAAAAATGTGAAAATAAATAAAAATCAAATGAAAATGATGAAGATAAGAAAAATAAGAACGAACTGGTAAACTTTGGAATTCTATAATATAAGATGTAAATAATAATAATCATAATGTTCCAAAATTAGAAACTATTAATCACCGTTTGAATATATTTAAATAAAAACCAGAAAAAATAGATTTTTTCGAATTGCTAAAGCCTAAAATTTAAAACACGACAGGATAAAATGATATTTAAATAATTTAAAATAATAATTAAAATTCTTAGAAAAATTTAAATAATAATGAAAATATAAATATCAATTAATATAATAATAATCATAATCATAATCATAATCATAATCATAATCATAATCATAATCATAATCATAATCAAAATCAAATTCAAAATCAAAATCAAAATCATAATCATAGTCATAACGTAAGTCATAGTCATAATCATAATAATAATAATATTAATAATAATAATAATAATAATAATAATAATAATAATAATTTTAATAATTTATAAAATCTTCAAAATTATAATTCTTATTAATTTAAAAATTCGCATGAATTCACTGATGAAGATGGTAGTATAACTTATTATTCTTTTAAGAAAAAACTTTAGGAAAAATTTAAAAGAAAAAATAAATAATAAAAAGTACAAAAACTCTTAAGGTAAAAATCCTATAATGCAACATAAAGAAGAGAAAATACTATTTGGAGAGGAGATTAAGAGGCTAAAAGACTTGCAAAGTCCATTGAAGCCATAAACTAAATTAAATTTGAAGGGAAAAACAAGTCACAAAAAGATTTAAATAATTAAAATTCATAATAGCATGGATAAATGTATAAAAATAATAAAAATTATTTATCTTAAGAAAGGAATTTTGACTTAGGAGTTAATTTTGAGACTAGAATAGGATAAATATTAAATTAAAGTTATTAATAATAGGGTGAAGATAAGGAATAGTTTAAGAAAACAGCAAATTTCATACTTAAGGATTATATGAAAAATAAAATAAATAAAAAAAGTTTTCCACCTGCTATTTAAATGTTTAAAAACGAAGAAAGTAAGATTTTGAATAACTTTTTACCCAATTTTAATTCAGGATTTAATTTGCCAAATAAAAATAATATATTTTTTGGTATAGATGATGTTTAGTTAAAAAATGAGACTGCGGAAAATTAATTTATTAAATTTTAAGAAAAATTAATTAATTAAAGTGTAGTAATTTCTTTTTGGGAAGAACTTTAATTTATTAAAAAATGACAAAAAAAAATAAATATTTATATATATTATATAAATTATTATTAATAAAAAAACAACTAAATTAATATATATTTATATTTAAATTAATAAATATTTCAATACAATCAATGTCTTTAATTTAAACAAAAAAAATATTATATATATTATCCTATATAATAAAATTAAATATCAAAAGATATATATATTTTTAAAATACTATTAATTTATATAATAATTATAATAAGTGTTTCAAAAAATATAAAAAAATAAATAATTATATTAAAACTGTATATAATATAAATATTAGAAAAGTTTTTTAGAAAAAAGTTTTTAAATTTTTCCATTTTTTTTGTTGTTGTTTTTTTTAGTAAATATCTGTAATTTTCTCTGAATTATTTTATAAAACTGAAAAAAAAAAATTTATTTACGTAAAATAAAAATAGAATAATAAACTATATGAAAAATAAAAATATAATGTTCATTGCTAATGTTTTGTACATTTTTAATTAAAATTCGAAATAAGAGTTTACTTTTAGACTTGAAATTACAGTATGATGCTTCTTTTAAGATTATTAAAATATTATTTTGATTGATTTCGGATTTATTTATGAAAAGTTATAGCGTTTAAGTAGCATTTTTTAAAATAAATGAAGATTAATTATTATAAATGGAGTTTATTTATATTTAAATAAAAAATTAAATAAAATTTAAAATTATGCGTTTGAATTATAAATTAGAATTTTTTACAGAAATAAATAATTTATAAAAAAAAATAAAAAGAAATATATATGTCTTCTTTTGTTATTATTTTTAATAAAAAATTAAACAAAAAAAGATATTAATAGTGGCTTTTATTAAAAGATCAAATATTAATTTTAAAAACTTATTTATTATCTAATTTTTACTTTGTTTTTTATGTTTTTTTGTTTTTTTTTTTCTACTTTAAATTTGTTAATAGGTTTATTATTTTCTTTAAGTTAAAAAGTTCGATATCTAACTAATTTTATCCAATATAAAAGATTTTTTTAATTCGCTTTATTGTTCTTATATTAGAAATTTATTTAAAATGCATTTTTGGAAGATTTTATAAATTACAAAAACAACAAAAAGTTAGACTTTTTTTTTATTTAATAAAAAAAAAAAGAATTTTTAATTAAAAATATATTTTTTATTTATTTTATAATTATATATATATAAATAATATAAAAAAATCATTTATTTTTTCTCATTCTTCCCTATATAACTACCTAAACTTTACTTGGATCATCTAAATCTTAAATAAGGGCATTTCCCCATTAATTAATTCCTAAAAAAATCCCTTCATGTATAATATTTTTCAATTAATAATCATAAATATATATTTTTTCGCCTTAAAAAGCTAACCTTTAATTAATTTTATTAATCAATTATTTAGTTAATTCGTTATTATATTAAATGATATCTAAATAATAATAAATTTTTTCCCAAAGAATATCTAAAAAATCGACAGGATCTATTTTTTATTAAATAATATCAAATAAAGAAATCGTCTAATTTTCCAATTCTTTTGGTTTTACATATAAATTTACCCCAACACCAATTAAAAGATTCATATTTTGATCACTTTTAACTAATATTCCTGCAATTTTTTTATTTTCAAAATGCACATCATTAATCCATTTAATTTTTAAAAAATCTTTTTTTTGTTTCTAAAAAAGCATTTAATCTAAACTCTCACAAACTACCAAAGAAATAATCAAAGGAATAATAGATGAAAAAATAGGAAAATTAATTAAAAAAGTACAATAGAAATTCCCTTTTGGGGATATCCATTTATTTTTACCTTATCCTTAACCTTGGATTTAATATTTGGTTAAAAAAGCATAAAAAGTATCTTTTTTTTAATTTATTTTAAAAAATTCTCCTATGTTCATAGTTGAGTCTAAAATATTGAATTCGAATATATTTATCTATTTATTTCCTTTTATTCCTAGTTAGCGAATTTTTTCTAGTTTTGGAGTTTCTTCATTTATATTATTTGATAATTATTTTATGTATTATTTACATGTTTATACATATATGTACTTTTCATATAATTTTATCCAAGATATACACTATTAAAATTCAATTTTTTAAATAATAGAACCTTTTTTATATAAAAAATTAACATTTTTTTATAAAAAGTAATCATAAAATGCCAAAAAGATGAAAAAGAGAAAATTTATTTAATTAAAAATTTATTTTTTTATGAATTTTAAAATTATGCTTTTAATTCATTATTTGTTAAAATTTGTAAACAAATTCCTCCCTAAATAATTATTTCACCTTTATTTATTTTAATAGGAATATTTTCACCATATTCATTTTTCAGTAAAGCACTTAAACTTTAATTCTATTTAACAAAAAATATAGAAACTAATGCCCAATCATATTAAAAAGGTAAAATTTGTTAAGAATTTTTTTCAAAAGTAGTATTTAAACCAAAAAAAGACGTTTTTTAATTTTTAAAAAATTCAGTATTAGAATATGTATTTTTGAAAAAATCCGAAAAATAATAAAAATCAATTATTTAAATAAAATTTAAGAAAAAAATATTAAAAAAATTAATTAATTCTTAATTTTTTTCCTTTTCTTCAATTTTTATAAAATTGTGGTTATTTTTTAAAAAACCTGCTTTTTATATATTTTTTATATAGTTTGGATTTTAAAACTGATTTTGGTATGTTATTCCTAGTTATTATTAAAAGGTATTTTAATTTTTTAATAATAAAGAAGTATTGGTGTTTTATATTATTAAAATGTTTTATTGTTTTAGTGTTTATATTATTTATTTTGTGGATTCTTGGTCTCCTTTGGAGGCATTAAGAAATTATTAGTATTATGTTTTTATTAATTTAAATTAGTTCATTTTTTTTTATTTTTATTTTTTTTGAAATATTTATAGTATTTTATATAAATTTTAAATTGGAATCTTATTTATTTTTATATTAAAATAAAGTATATATATGTATTTACTTATTATGATAAGAAATTAAGTAAATAATAAAATGCATTTTATATTTAAAAAAATTATTTTATAGATAATAATATTATTTAATTGGTCCTTTTTTTTATATATATGTGATAATAATTTTTAAAATTTAAAAGTAAAAGAAGAAGAAATATGTATAAATTATTAAATAGGGATGATAATTACATTTATTTTTATTATAATCAAATTATTAATTTAATAATTAAATAGTTTATAACAACCATTATTAATATTTGCTATTTTTTGATAATATAAATTTATAATTACATTAATTTTAAGCAATACATATTTAATTTTAAATTTCTTGAATGTAATAATAATGAAATTAATCATTAATATTAAAAGAAATAAATTAATATAATAAAAAGAGAAAAAAAATTAAAATGAATTAATATTATATAAATAATAAATTTATAATATAAATAAAAACACTACATTGTATTAAATCTAATTATTTATTTAACAAAAATAGCCTTTTATATTAAATAATTTCATACAATATTTATATTTAAAAAGAAAGAAAATATATATGTATATATATATATATATATTTTTTTTTATATTTTAATATTTTAGTATTATTTTTTGTTATTTATATAAAGATAAAATAATATAAAAAATAAAATGTATTTTGGGTTCCTAAAAAAATAAAAAAAAATGTTTAAATAACAAAATTATAGTATTCTAATATTTTGCCAAAAAACAAAAAATTTAAATAAAATTGCCAATATAATTAAACTCGGAAAAAATAATAAAAAATTGCGCAAATTCATTATATTTAAAAAAAAAAAAAAAAAATCTAAAACACAAATTATAATATAAATAAAATATTTATATATTTTTTTTTGTATTATATTTATATAAAATGGATTTTTTTTATAATGAATACATAGAAGATGAAGAGTTTAGAAATTATTAAAAAATAAAGTTTTTAGAAAAGCAAAAGCAATATTAATTAACTAATTAAATTTTAAATTAAAAAGCTTATTTTTTATAAGACGAATATAAATAAAATGATGAATATGATTATATATAAAAAAAACTTAATGAACTTATATCAAAATAATATTAAAATAATAATACTTATTCTGATATTAAAAACTTAAAAGAAATATTTGATTAATCTATAATAGAAAAAGATAATGATAATAATGAGTTTTTAGAAACATTAAATATATATGAATTATAGTATTTCGAATATGATGCATAATTATAAACAAAACATGAGTATATTTCAAGTAAAGATTATTCGATTTCAGACATAGAAAAATCATTTCTATGCAATAGAGAATTTTTTAATAAATAAAAATAAGTATTGAATATAGAAAAAAATTATAAATCTTTTCTCAGCAATATAGAAAAATCTAGTAAATATAAATTAATATCAAGTGAATAAGATTTAATATCAAATCAAGAAAAATCATTATTATGTAATAAAACAGTAATAAGTAATGACAATAGTTAAATAATAACTAAATAGAATAAATCCATATCAAGTTTTAAAGAAGAATCTTTATGTAAATTATTTGAATATGAAATTCAAAATATAAATACTTCAGATAATAGTGTTGAAATGAAATTAATTTATGATAATGAAGAGTAAATATAACTGATAAACTAAATTTAAAATATAGAGAATAAACATGATATTAATAAAACAACTAATACAATAAATAACAACTTACATATATAAAATAAATATAATTCATAAAAAAGTAAAAACATAAATGAAAATATTATATAAAAATTAAATTAAAATGAATTGACAAATATATAATATAGTAATTTAGGAAATAGTAAATAGTTTTAAAATTAAAAATAGAGTTAATTAAATAAAATATAAAATAAATCAAAATATTAAGAATTAAATAAAAATTAAAATCAATTAAAATAAATACAATAATAAAAATTTTTAATAATTGATTAATAAGAAAAAAATTAATAATAAAAAGTTTAAAAAAATATTATTGAATAGTATTAATAATAATAATAATAATAATAATAATAATAATAATAATAATAATAATAATAATATCATTAATATAAATAATAACAATAACTATAATATTAATTATAATAATAATAATAATTTCAATTATAATAATATAATTTAAATTTATTAAAACAATATAATTTCCAATAATAATAAAAGCATTTATCTTAATAAAACTAATAAAAAAATATTATACATTAAATCCAAGATAATCAATAAAAAAAATCAAACTAATTATAATAATAATAATATAATCAATAAAAATATTTAAATAAAAAAGCAAAATAAAATGTTTCAAATATAAAATATTAAAAAAATATAAACTAATTATAATTTATATAAAATCATGAAAATTAATAAATTTAATATAAAAATTTAATAAATAAATAATAATAAAATCAAAAAAATGATTTAAATTAACAAACTTAATTAAATAAATTAATATTTAAAAAAAATCAATAATATTCTAAAATATTTGAATAATATCAATATTAAAAATAAATATAGTTATCAAAATATGATTAATAAAAAATATTTTAATAACAATAAAAATGTGAAATTAAATAATAGAAATCATAATTTGATAATATTTAATAAATTTCATCAATAGAAAATGATTAAATAGAAAATATTTAAACTGAAATAAGTAATTAATAATAATAATAAAATAAAAATTAAATAAAAAATTTGACTATTTAATCAAATAACGATTTATATATTTAATAAAAATATTCTCCATATAAAGAATAAAAAGAATATAAATAATATGAAAAAAAAAATATTGCTGTAAAATAATAATTAATATAGTTTGAAAAATAATTAATTAAAAAATAATAAAATAATAATAATAATAATAATAATAATAATAATAATAATAATAATAATTATAATTTTAAAAATAAATATAGTTAAAATGATATTGTATAATATAACAATAATTCTAAATTACCTAATAATAATTCTTTTAAATAATAATTTTAAACTATTCAAAGAAAATAAAAATAAGAATCTTTAGTAATAGTTATTGATGATTTTATTAAAAATAATTGTAAGTTAAAATAATAAGAAAAAGCAAATTATATATTTATTCCAGATTGAAAAAAGAGAATAAGATATAAAATACTATTTTATTTTTATTTATTAATATTAAACTTCATTATATATAAAATTAATAAAATGTTATTTAATTTTTATTTATAATTTATATAAGTTTTTTAATAAAATTAATATTTAAAAACTTTTTAAAATTATATACTTATGATTTTATAGAAATTATTTTTTTTTTTTTTTCTCTAAGTATCACATTCATATTTATATCATTTAGTAAATTATTTATTGACATTTTAATTAAAAAATTAATAATATTCAATCCTATAACTTTAAAATTAATTAATATTTTTTTTTTTGCTAATTACTTAAAGAGTTTGTATTTTTATAATATTTATTCTTTTAAACACACTTAATATTATTTGTATTTATTTATAAATATTTATTTCTTATTTTTACAATTAATTAAATTACTTTTATACATTTTTAATAATTAAATTATATTTAATATTTGAATTAAAAATTATATACAGATATTATATAAAGCTTAATAAAATTAGTTTAATTATTTAAACCATTTATTTAGTTGTAATTTAATACAAAAACTTATTTTTATATTTACAAATTTAAAATATTTATATAATTAAAAATTGATAAAAGTTGATTTACTTGCATCATATTACCTTTATAAGTAAGAGCTATTTCTATATAAAAAAAAGCCCTATGCAAGTCTAAATAACTTTTATAAGATTATAAATATCTTATTGATTTAGATAATAATTTACACTCTATTTATCTTTAAAAAATAGAGTCAAGATTAATATTATCATTTTTATGTTTTTTTTTATTTCTAAAAAATAAATATATGATTTTTATTTATTTTTTTAAAAAATATATCTATATGTGTCTTTTTATATTAAAATAAATTTGATTTCTTATTAACTAGAAAGAAATATAAATACATATTTAAAAAAATTGAATAATAATTTATATATATGGATTCCTTAAAAGAGTACTAAGTAAAAAGTAACAAGAAATAAAAGCACAAGGCCAATATATAAGAAATTCTGTTATCGAAAAAGAACGTGAAAGATAATATTTGGAAGATTTATAAAATGAAAAAGAGAAAGAAAAATAAAAAAATCAACAATATCTAGAAGAATTAGAAAAAACAATATCAAATCCATATAAGAAATTAAAAAAAGATCCCAAATTAGATGACATATTAAACATAGAAAAACAAGAAACTGAATTACCTCCAATACCTTTTGAAGAAATAGTAAAAAAGCTTCGAAGTTTTGGAGCTCCAATTACATTTTTTGGAGAAACAGCAATGTAAAGGTATAAAAGATTAAGAAAATTAGAAATTGAATAAATGGAAAATAAAAGTTAAGGCGGGAATGTTTTCGATAAGTTTTTAAAAATGAATGACGAAGATTTTAAAAACAAATAAAAATAAGATGATTTATATATAGATGATGATAAAATTAATAATTTATTCAAAACATTATAATAATAGGAAAGTTTTTTAAAAGAAGAAACCACAAATGATAATTTAGGAATTGGATAAAAAAAAAAAAAAACCACAGAAAAAATAAAAAACGTTTCCAATGAAAAAAAAAGCTAAGATGTATATATATGGAGTAAAAAAACACTCAAAGACTGGCAGATTAAATTAGATTAGAGATTTTCTACAGAAGAGGATAAAAAAGCCCTTAAGGATAAAAATTAATAGGTACATATAGGTAAACTATTGAATATCTAAAACCTCTTTTTGGTTTATTAAAGGATTAAAAATGTTCAGAAGAAATTCTTGATGGACTCTATGTTATAGCACATTATTGTTTAATGAGAGAATATTCTAAAGCTAATGATAAATATTTATAATTAGCTATAGGAAATGCGGCTTGGCCGATGGGAGTTACTATGGTTGGTATTCATGAAAGAGCGGGAAGATCGAAGATTTTTAGTTCTTAAGTTGCACGTAATAAATATTTATTAGTTTAATAATTATATATATTTTTTTTAAAAAAAAAGATATTCTTAATGATGAAGCAACAAGAAAATATCTTTAGTCAATAAAAAGATTAGTTACTGTTTCTTAACTTTTATTTCCGGCTGATGATAAATCTAAGATGGTTAATTTTGATAGTAAGTATTATATATATTTTTTATTTGATGATTAAAAATTTGAGTTAAATATATAATATTAATAATAATATATTAATTAAATAAGTAAAAAATAAAAGTTATATGTAATATTTTAAATAAAATAATAATATATATTAAAAATAAATAGATATATATATAAATATTATAATAATATTTATATTTATAAATATATAAATATATATAAATATATATATATATTTTACATATATTCAATTTTTTTTTATAGCTTTGATGGAAGATTTATTTTGAAATTATAATAATTTTTTTTGTGTTGAACATTTACTTAATTTATATTTATAAATTTAATTTTAAATAAATAAATGTTATTAATAATACTAATATTAAAATTAAATAATAAACTATTAAATAATATTCAATCAGTTTTTTATTAAAATATTTAATATATTATAAAGTTTTTATACTAAATTTGTTTTTTATAATTTTTCTTGTAATTATTAAAGAAATTATGTTTTATTATTTTAAAAATATTTTAATAAAAATATATTTTTTAATATAAAAATGATATTTTAAAATTTTCTTTAATTTGTTGATAACCTTAGAAATTTTTTTTTTTTAGGATATATAAATTATATTGAGTTTTTAAAAGCTACATGATTTTTTTTTATTTTAATGATTTTTAATAAAGATTAAAGAATTTTTTTAATATAAAAAATGTTTTCATATATAATTTATTAATTATATTTTAGAATCTATATAATAATAATAATAAACATAAATTACATTAAAAAGATTTAAATAAATAAATTTAAATTATGTGAATTTAATAATGATTTTTTTTTATTTTATTTTATTATTATGTATATATATATATATATATATTTTATTTTATTAAATATTTATATTTTTTTATTTTATATTTATGTGTAATATTTTTTCAAAAGATTTTTTTACTAATTTATATTTTAAATTTTATATTATTTTTATTTTATTTTATTTAGAATGTTTTTTTTTTTTATTTTTTTTTATAAATATGAGTATTAGATTGAAAAATATTAATTATATTATTAGAAAAATTAAACATTTATATTAAAAAAATAATTAGATAACTATAAAAACATCATATTAAAAGTGTAATTTTATATTAATAAAATTTTATATAAATACTTAAACAATTTTAACAAACTAAATTTAAATAAATATGACAAAATTATTATATATATTATATATAAATATAAATTCATATATTTATTTTTTATTTTTTTATTTATATGTTATTTAAAATAAAAAAAAACTAATATAAAATATTAGAAAAAATAATAATATATGAATTAGCAAATAAATTTAATCAACCAAACATTTTAAACTTCACCTTCAGCCAAGACGTATAATACTTTACAAAAAACTTCTCCTAAACAAATAATAACAAGATTAAAAAGTTGTATATAGATAAATTAACCAAAACAAGATATTATTAATTATAAACAATAACTTATAAACACTAACTATAATTTTAAATAGTATTCTTTATATAATACTACAAATTAAAAATAATAATATAACAGTCATCATTCAGCTAATATATATTTAAATAATAAACCCTTACAATATAAAAATACTTTATGTTTAATAAAATAAGAAAAAAATAAAATGAATTAATAAATAATAAATACTCCATTATCATAACCAAATATAAAAAGTGACCTTGGTTTATCTTAATATAAAAATAATATAAGAAATAAATAAACTACTTATATAAATACAAGACAAGTAACTTCTGAATTTGAAAAATAAAAAATTAAATAATTATAAAAAAATTAAAGGTAAGAATTTTTTTTATATTATATTATTTAAATAAATATATAGAGTTTAATCTTTATACTTTTTTTAACATTAATATTCTAATTACTTAAATTTAACTACTGTACATGAATAAACTGCAGAGTAATCTTTTAAACTTTCATTTAGTGGTTAAAAATAAAATAATTTTAGCTAACTTTTTTATATTAAGGATAATGATTAAAAAGTTAAAGAATTCTAATGTATTCCTATTTAGTAATTAAATATGGAAGGTGAAAATTAAATGATAAATAAAAATAATAATAATAATAATAATAATAATAATAATAATAATAATAATAATTTTAATAATAATAATAATAATAATTAATTTTATTTACAAGAATAAAAAACTGATCTCATCAATTAAGATTAGGAAATAGTAAGATATCAAGAGGAATGTTTGAATTTTTAAAATAGTTAGTAAAAAACATAGAGTAATTCAAATTAAGAATAAGATAATTATTTTGAATAATAATAATTAATTATAAACAATGAAGAGGATAATTAGAGAGTTAATTTAATATAAAATTAAATTTTAAAAGAAGAAATTGAAATTTAAAAAGATGAAAATGAAATTCCTAAAGAATAAATTGAAAATTTAAATGAAAAATCATCTTTTGAAATTTTAGAATAAAAATTATAATATGAAAAATAAGATTAGAAAGAAACATAAATAGAAAAATAAATTTAAACAGAAAACGATATAAAAAATTAATAAGAAAAAGAAGAATATCAATATTTTATTAATAAATAGAAATATATAAAAAACGAAATAATTGAAAAAAAAATATAAAAAAGATTAAAATAAAAATAATAATCATTATATTTACCGAATTAAAACAAAGATAATTTCGAAAATCAATAATAAATTATTTATAAGAACTTTTCTTTATTTTAAATAGCCGAAATAAAGAAAAAAGAAATATTAAATAAAATAAAATAAATTGATTTGTTTTTTGATAAAGAGTTTTAATAATAAAAAAATTAAAATGATTAATTGTAAGGTTAAAAAAATAATGATTTTTCTAAAAAAATAACGACTAATACATGTATTTTAAATAATAATTTTTTAAGAAAGAAAATTATTTCTAAAGAAAATAATATTTAGGATCAAAAAAAATAAATAAATATATAAAATGATTCTGGTTAAAAAAATAAAAAATCTTAAATAATTATATGAGTAATATAGAATAAAGTTAATAAAAAAAAAATTGTATTGAGTAATATTTTTTTTTTTTTTTTTTTAATTTTAATTTATATATTAAATAGTATGATTAATAACTAGATTTTTTAAGATAAAATTAATAAAAAATTATTTTAAAATAATAAAAAATAAGATTAGATTAAAAATATTATAGAAAAAAGTAACAAATAATAACATTAAAGCAATAAAAAATTAAATTAAAATAAATAAAAAAATGATTAAATTAATAAAAATATAAATTAAAATAATTAATAAAGTAAATAATTAGCTGTTATAAACTTATATTAATTAGAAGTAAAAACTTATATATAAAATTATATATAATAAATATAATAAATATTAAAATAATAAGAATAATTAAAATAATAAAGAAAAATAAAATAATTCTATAATATTTATTCTGAAAATGAAAACGAAAATAAAAATGAAACAAATAACAAAAAATAAAACTAAAAATAAAATTAAAATTATTTAAATTATTATTAATAAAATAATAATATAAAAGATAATAAAGAAAGTAATAATAATAATAATAATAATAATAATAATAATATAATAATAATACAAATGAAGATTATTTATTTTTTTTTTCTTATTAGAAAATTAATAAAGATTAAAATAAATTTTAAGACTAAATAAAAGAAAATTATTCTGGCAAAGAATAATAAGAAATATTTAAATAATAATATCATCATTTTTCTAATATTTTAAAAATTGTATATTTAATTAATTACTTTATATTTTAATTTCATTATATTTTTAAAAATAAAAATATAGTAAAACAAAGAAGATAATATAATAAACAAAATCGATAATATTATAATATAAAATGAATAGTATAATTTTAAAAAACAAAATAATTATTAGATTTAAAATAAGAACGATATTTATTATAATAATTGAGAAATAAAGAAAAATAAATTTCATAATCTATACTAAAATATAATATATATAAATTATTAATTTTTTATAAAAAGTTTATAAAATAGAAATTTTATTTAATAATTTTATTTATAGTCAAGTATTTTTTGGATAAAAAAGAAAAAAAATTAAAATAAAAAAATATATAAATAAATTAATATTATATATAAAATATTTTACAAAAGAAATAAATAAAATAAAATATATATAATACAATACTATTTCTTTTATATTTAATAATTAAAAACATAAAAATATGAATCATTTTTTAGCTCCTGAAAATGTTTGTGGCTAAAATCTATTAAAATTAGTTTCTAGAGGATCTACAATATTGGCAGAATTATAAAGACTTTCTGAAAATATACCTAAATCATTTTACGATAATTCAGAAAATTCTAAATATAAAAATATTCTTTTTGATTTTGAATACTTTAAGTAAATAGATAATTATGAAGATAAAATATAATAAAATCAAGTAAAAAAATATATATGATAAAAAAATTAAAATAAATAAAATAGGAATTATTAAATTTAGATGAATATTTTAAAAATAATTACAAAGAACTTTTGATTAGATTTTATATTGTTTTCGAAAGTAAAACTAAAAATATAACCAAAATAAAAAAAAAAGGCATATATTTATATTATAGCGATTTAAAAAATTATATTGAATAACTATTTGAAGGAGTTTTCATGTAATTTACATATGAAGTAATTATATTAATTAAATATATATATATATATTATATATATATATATATTTATTATTTAGGTATATT